AGGAGATTACACTGTTTTTAAACGGAAAGTGAATCAATTAACATAATAGACTCCTAATATAACTCAACAAACTCAATTATAACACACAAAATTTGTATTTCCTTGTATAAAAAAGATTCTCAATCGAAAAATATCCCAAAACATAGCAATCTTCAGAGAAATTATATAATACATCTGAATACATAAATTATATTAATTAAAAAAACTAATGATACATTCATGGCATATAGCGAGACAGTAATACAATGAAATACATAGAATACGGCGGGAAACATTGAAATACAATGAAAAAAAAGACAGTGAATACAATGAAATACATGGAATATAGCGAGATACATTGAATTACAATGAAATACATGAAAATACAACGATACGTTGAAAATAGATTGAAATATATAAACAGAAAATCAAGTTGCTCAGCCCCAAACTCCGTCGTCTTTGTTCAAGAACAAACCCTAATTTCCGGCGAATCCGCCAACAAAGCCTAATTTCTGGCGAATTCACAATTGCTATCTCTTGTTACTGGTCTCCCTTGGATGATAATTTCGAGGTTTCTTTGCCTTCTTCTGGTGAAAATTATTTTTCTACTACTATAAAGGGAGGAACGGGTTAAAAAAGAGGAATATATTGGCAATTGGTTTGTGAAAAGCAGTAGTAGGGATTTGGTGGAAGAATGGCGGAGTGCTAAGAAAGAGGAATATATTGGCAATTGATTTGTGAAAAGCAGCAGTAGGGATTTGGTGGAAGAATGACGGAGTCTAGTTCAAGAGCGTTGGAGCCGGAGAATAGCCCAAAATATGAGGGAAGAGAATGGCATGTATCAAAGTAGAGAGAGAAAGAAAATAGTGTAACTGAATAGCGTATTTAGTGGCTTAGGAGTAGGAGGTAACCAAAATTAAATACTTTTCTATAAACACTAAAAGATATTTATAGAATATAATTTTTTTAAATGATATTTATTTAAAATAAATAAAGTTAACACCTTTGCTATAGGAGATAAAAATTTCAAGAGTTTTTTGATCAAATATCTCTTCCTTTCCATTGTAAGCCCAGATATATTCAACACCTCCCTGACCAATGGCTAAGCTAGAAATCTATACAAGGGAATTTCATTATAAAGTTATTAATTTTGTCATTGAATTGGCTACATTCATATATAGCCGTTTTCGTATTCATAATTTTTTACAAATTGTGGATTATAAATTATATTTTATGGTTTTGAAACAAAAATATCTCCAAATATGTTGCAAAAAAAGATAACCAAAACAACTTCATCTTCAAATAAAATTTCAGTGAAATTTCAAATTTGAAAAAAAATCTTGGAATTTATGTTCAAACACCTGCCTAATCTCTTAAATTAAAAATAGCCGATGGATGTATAATTCATATATAATATATGTATAATTATATATAATCAATGTATACCATCTAAAAAAGTAAACGTTGAACCTTGCCGGCTATTTATGTAAATCCTTATTTTTTTTACTTTGTTGAAATTTAGAAAATCTAGCTGCTAAGTGAATCGATAAGAGTACATTGAAAAGTGAGATGCGACAAAAATCTAGCACAAAAGTAAATTAAGTTAAACGACTATTGTATTGCATTCGAACAACTATGATTGGTTCCTTATCAAAGAGACACCTAACTTCATCTAATTTCTTTCTCATTTTTCTTCAAGTCAATAATGTTATCAAGATAATGCACAAAAACTCTTTTTTTTTCTCTCTCCCAGTTTCAAGTCTCTGTTTTAATAATTATAAGCCATCTTCTTTTCTAAAGGAAAATAAACCAACAAGTTTAATTAACCAATTAATTAAACAGGCTTGTAATCTTTTAGATAAGCACAAATTAAAAAGGCAAGTAATTATAATTAACGTGATAAATTTTGCAGGAGTTAGAGTCCTAATAGGACTAGAAGTCCTTTATCCCTTTTTATCTCCCGTTAGATTGTATTGGTTGTTACAATTCTATACTATATAACACTGTCTTCCCTTTTTCTTTTACTTATTATTATTATTATTATTATTATTATTATTATTATTATTATTATTATTATTATTATTATTTACAAATGGCAGAAGGGGGGAGATCTAAAGAAGATGATGAACGTCACGAGACAAATGATGTTGCATGTTGTGTTTTAAATCCAAGAGAGAATTGGCTCATTCTAGGATGTTCATATTTATTCTTTGGGTTTTGCATGTTTATTGCATTAATCATATCACGTGTTTGTGGTATAAAGGTTCCTCTTAAAGGATGATTTGGATTTTGTATTCTTTGTGAGTTTTGTGAGTACTAGTTTATTTTGGTGCTTCATGTTCATAACATATGAATATGGCTTCCCATGCTTATCAAAATTAGCAAGACGTATTTTTCGGAATAAAGAAGCAATGCCAGTCCAGATATATCCAACACCTCCGTAGTCCGTGACAAAGTTAGAAATTTATTAAAGCGTATTTCATTATAACATTATTTTTCTCCTTGAAGTGTTATCGGCTACATCCATAGCCGTTTTCATTTTGGTAGTGTGATTTCATATCCTTTTGTTTTTTTTTTTTCAATCATAAGGTGGGAGTGAAGATAAAATGTGAGAGGCAAGGCTAAGATGGTTTGGACATGTTAAAGATGAGAAGCACAGATGTCCCTGTTAGGAGGTATGAGAGGTTGGCCTTGGTTATGAGAAAGTGCAGAGGTAGGCCAAAGAAGTCTTGGGGAAAGATGATTAGGCAGGACATGACGCAGCTAAAGGTTATTGTGGACACAACCCTAAATAGTCGAGCGTTTTTCTTTGTCTTTCTTAAGTCGATAACATTAGTGTAAGTATGATATCTTTTTATCCTTAAGTTTCTATTACTATCTATCAAACTATCACTCTATTGCTATCTTTAGTTGAAAGTCTATCGGAGACAATCTCTCTTCTCTCTTATGGGAATCCATTAAGTTGTTATTGTTGATAATTGGTATACAAGTATTTTGTTGTTTTGTTTCAAGTCTGTTATTCTTATTTTCAACTATAATAAAGTGTTTTTTTCCGTGACATTGTCCTGTGCAATGTGGTTAATTCTTGATCGCCGGCAAATATTTGAGAATTTCATGGTTTAAACTGAAATGCCGTCCAATAATGATAGCTTTTATTTGTTATTCAAAAAAGAACTTTAACAGATGCGAATTGCATTAATTTAATTATATATCTTAAGGTGAAATGGTTAATGTATGAACTTAATCAAATATATATACCAGAAAGCAGGTGTGCAAGCCAATGAGTTTAATCTTGAAGCAAATATTTGAATAAGGTAAAAAACTATCTAATTACTGACATATTTACAAGATATGCAGATTGCTTTTTTAGAATAAATTTTAACAGACGGGAATTACATATACCATCAGTTGCAAATTATATGATACAAATGTACGTCACTCTAGCTATTTTCCGACAATGCAACTAATTTATAATTGAAATAATACTCTAGCTACAATGTTAGTAATTTAAATAGCATTTAATTAATTAAAGCATCATAATAGTACTACATAAAAATCCACTAGCCAAAAATTAAAAAGAGTTCACCAAAAATACTATACTATTACACAACTTAAAACAACAATGAGAGCAACCGGCCACTAGGGTAAAGGATAAAAACCTTGAAAAATTTTCAATACGGTTATAAAAGCTTCTCATTAAGGGTAGAATTGTAAGTTTAAATTAAATTGTTTTCAAATTTAGAAATGGGTCATTCTTTTTGGAACGGACTAAAAAGGAAATAGGTTCACATAAACTGAAACGGAGGGAGTATGCTAGTTCTTCAATTTTTCTAAGCAGGTCAACAAGGCTCTGATTGTTATAAATACTGCCTGGCAAGCAAGTGCACACCCCTGTCACATAAAAGAAACACATTAACTTATAATTTTCACAAAAAATCAATCTTGAAAGATTAAATAAAAAATTGAACTAAAAGAGTTTTACCTGATCCCTTGTAACAAAATACAAGTCTTGCTGGTTATTTAGCCTGTCATTCCTTGTATCTGTGCATGAACAGAACTTTTTTAAAGTCAAAAGAACACATTGATATTTCAAAGCAATTTATTTTAAGAACATGCTTTTAATATATCAATTTTACCAAGCTCTCTCCCAACCAAAATAATAGGAACTCCTGGAGCATGATTATTCAAAAATTGTGTCCACTTTAAAAGACAAAATAAAATTAAAAAATCAATAGTAACCATGCAATCCATTTGAGATCAGTTATATAAGAATGAGAATATTTAATATAACCTACGGTTGTGGTCACTCTGTCAAAGCTATTCTCATCCATTAAAGAGAAATATAAAATGACAAAGTCAGTTGGAGGAAATTTCCAAATTCCACCATCAATGACATTTCCTCTCATTTCAATCATGTTGAAATTCACATCTCTCCTATCATCATCATCATCTTCATCATCTTCTTCTTCTTCTTCTTCTTCTTCTTCTTCTGTTCTTACATTAATGCTCCACATATCAAATGCTTTAGTAATATTAAGGGTCTGCACGTTGAAAAACAAAGTTTTAAAAATAATTATGATATAATAAATTTTTGACTAGATAAAAAATATTACTTCCTTTGTTTCAAAAAGATTATCTTAGTTTGATTGAATACAAACTTTAATAAAGAAGGAAAGATTTTTGAGATATATATATATATATGATCTTAAATAAGTCATAATATTTATATGGGTGTAAACCTTTTAAAACCTGTCTAAAACCTGTCATAGTTGTGTGTGGCTATAAATGCTTTCTATTAAAAAAATACTGAAAGGTATCAATTTTTTTTGAAACATACTAATAAGAAAATAGTGCCCGTTTTTTTTTTTTTTTTAAGGAAAGAGAGTGGAGTAGTAAATATCACTACCAAATTTGCACGAGGGAGACCAAGTATGGTATTCAAGAAATCAGTAGAAGGTGGTGGAACTGGAGCTTCAGCTCTCACATAATCTCCCACTATTATGCAACTGGCAGCAGTGACCTTAGCTAAATGTTCTTTTTGCAAAACAAGCAAAAGCTAAAAGTAATGGAATTATTGAAAAGTTGAACTCAAGGACCTTTCCCTTGCAACCATATTTTGCACATGTAGACCTGGCCACCAACTCGCAGAATCGGAGGAAAACTTGCAAAATACTAGCAACAACTCTAATATTATCCACTATTGACAAAAGTTTAGCAGTTACCCAAATATTCCTGCAATAGTTGCACAATTTAGCATAACCATACCAACAGTTTTCAAAGTCCCGTTCTCTCCTGCCTTGCATTGGTAGTTTGTTCCTTACATTCACGTGAATGTCACGTGCGAGACAAATCATTGCCCCAACAGAAGTTGCCAAAGTTACAGCAGCATGCACTAACATAACTTTGTTGGGATGTGGAAACTGAGAACGCATTGTCACATAGGCCTCAGCGCCTACAATTAACACAAACAAGACCTCTGAGCTAAAATTTGCCCACTTGATCTTCAGAAAAAACAGCTGCATTCAGTAAAGCGTAATAAGCAACTGGAACAATTATAAGAAGAGCTAAAAGCCAAAGAAGGTTTTGATCAGATTGGGGTTGTGGTTGCCTTTCAGTTTCTACCGAGCAACTATCAAGAAGAGAACACATTTTTCCTAAATAAGAAAGGAAGACAAGAAATAAAGAGATAAGTGTGAGTAATGAAATATTTTTAAACAGACCATACTTTATTATATACTAGAAAATATATAGAACAATACATATAATCTGAATTTCCAAATGAGAAAAAACTATAAAGCTGAACATACCTCTGCAGTTCCACTACTAACCATAGAGATCGGCTTTCTTGCTTTGTTTATTTTGGACCCTCTGCCTAATTTGTCCTTTTCTACATTTCTAACCCTTCATCTCCTTTCCTATATCTTTTTATTGCTTTTCCCCTTGACAATAGCAGATTCAAAACAATGAAGATTAGGGTTTTGAATTTGATTATAATAGAAACTAAAGTTATGGTAGTAACATCAAAATGAGAAATGCAGCAAACTTTCATCTCTTTTTGGCAGGTATATATTCTCTCAGAAAGTTTGGATTTTGCTAGAAATGGTGGAGCAGATTCTGTTAATAGGGGAAGCAAAGTGTTAAGAGCTTCATCAAAATGGAAGGAGAAGAAAGAGGGTGTAAACCAATGAGTATTAATTTTGGTTTAATACTGCTGTAGGTAATTTTAATTTTACAGAGGAAGAGAAAGGTTAAGGGTTGATTGTGGTTGCACATATTATTACTTTACTACGCTAATTTATAGAAGCGAGAAGGAGAGGAGCAGGAGGTGTCGTCAATGGATATCAAAAAACTGACTAAACTAATCGACTCCTACCGTATCGAATTAATTTTTAGATTTTTTAAATAAAATTATAGATTTTTATATAAATTTATAACGATACCGATAATTAGATATGTCTTTTATTTTATAAAAATAAATCGAAAAAATACCGACCGTACCGAATAAATTTACATATAAAAAATATATTTATATACTAAATTTAAAAATAATAAAACATTAAATTTTCCTTGGGTCTTGGAATTATGAAATTAGTTACAAGCTAATAAGTAATTAAACTCAAAATCCTAATTCTCTAACCTATTATGCTACTGCTATTGAAACTAAATTATTTTTAGCATATTCACTAAAGACACAAAATATTGTAGCGATTATGAGTAGCAAACTACAATATAATATGTTTCATTGAGTATGATTTAGATTTATCTTTTTGAATATTTAATCTTCTATAAATTTTATTCTTAAGTCCAGTCCCAACTTTGTTAATATCTTTCCACTCTTATAATTTATATTTTTTTTGTATTAATTTGTTTAGTTTCTTTTATGCTACTGTAAAATATTGATGGATTTATGCGCTAGCCATATTTTATATTTTCTTAATTCATCACCCCTTAAAATGTAAAAATGTCTAGAGAGTTTTGTTAAGTCCTATAAAAGTACGTATGTTACTGCATTCTACTTCTATTAGTGACTTTTACATGACATTTAAAAAAAATATCGAAAATTAATTGAACCGTACCGATATCAAAGAGAAACCAATATGATTGGGACAGTTTCGAAAAGTCTAACTTTGATTACATATAATATAATAATCGAAAATTTAATACGGTATAAAATTTATAAAATAACTGACCGAACCAAACTATTGACACCTGTTTGCTCAAAAGTTATTACATATCTTATGAGTATAAAACAATACAAATAAATCACGGGAAAATCATAGCAAATCGTAATAATCCGTTGGACCAAATGAAAGAAACGAAAATAAGTACTCAGGATTAGGGGGAGAAACATTAGAAACCTTTATTGATAACATTTGTTTGGTCTGCCTCTCCATGAAGAGGTTCAGAGCCTTACAATGGTGTTTTCTCTTCCCATAAGATGGGTATATTTTTTCTCTTCTCTCTCTTGTCAATAGTGGTGAAGAAGCAGCCCCCCTTTCTAGGGTTCCCTCTCTGGGTATTTATAGCTGTGGGCTTCGTGAGCTGGCGATAAGTGGCCGTGACCACGTTGGGATCTCGCCTTTATGGTGGCGGATAGGCCATGGCCCTGTTGATCGAACCAGATGCGGGTTGAACATCGTCAATTCTGAGTGGTCGGGCCATTAATTAATCATGAATTAACTTAAAACGGGATTAGCCTCGTTAATTATCGTGGGGTCGAATTCTGACCCATACAGTTAGTCCCTCCGCTTATTGAGGTCGGGCCTTGGCCGAGCTCAATGAACGGATTCCATTGGCTGTATTTCGAGAAACACGGATGGAGATGTTGACTGTTGCTTCGGTCGAAGCCGAATTCTTTTTGGGCGATGGCCCTTAGCCTTGTAGAGTATTAGTATCCTGTTATTGGGCTATCAAATCATCGTTCGATCGAGGTCGAACTCTCCTCCTGGGCGAAGGCACCCTTTTAACTTACTTCGAGTGAGGTCGAGCTGCATTGTGCTTTGATCCCTACGTTTGTTTTGGAAGCATACCCGTCGGCCGTGGCGGACAGGTCGTATGTTGTGCGGCCGAGGAGAATGAGGGCACGCTTGATGCGTGCTCGGCGGCGGCCTTAGCCGTTTACAGGTTGGAGATGACCGTAGCCTTTCATATATTGGAGATGGTTGTAGCCTTTCATACATTGGGGATGACCATAGCCTTTCATATATTGGAGATAGCCGTAGGAAATGAGTATGCGCCGGGTACGTATTTGGTCACGTCCAGAATTTTGAAGGCGTACGGCACATTCTTTCAACGTTCGCAGGCCGTAGCGATTATTCTGACGGCGGTACGTTGGCGGGTGGCTGAGAAGTCGCTTTGCGGAGCTTGTCATAATGGCGCTTGCTTCGGCAGAACTGAACCATTTTACGGTTGGTCGTGCAGTTAATGATGGCTATTGGGTTTCGCGAAAGCCATTTATGTTGCCTATAAAGGTGGGTTGAGGCATTCATTTCTCATATCTTCATTGTTCATCTGAGAGAGATTCTGAGGAGACTTTTTCATTCCGCAAATTCATCTTCTCCTTTCTTTTCTTTGATTGTGATAACCTTTGTCTTTAGTAGATCAACAATGACAGGCAGTTCTTCCCACGATGCTCTTCTGATAGACTTTCCGGTAGTTGAAGGGCCACCTCCGGCAATGGGAGGTGCAGAACAGATAGAGACCGGAGAAGTTCCGTCGGTTGACGAGGTAGTTCCTCGGCCCGGAGGTCCGGCGATTGATTTCACTGTCGACGGTGGAGTGGAACCGGTGGATGAAGACCCGTTAATGGGGGAGATTGGGATGGCCCGATTACGGGAACAGGGGCCATCCCCACCCATGCAGACATCATTCTTGCTAGAAGCGAGGAGAGGGTCCACACCGACCGCAGGGGATACTGCGTTTTTTACGCCTATCCTTTCAGGTTGGGGTTCAAGATCCCGCTCCCAATGTTGGTGGTGGATTTCTGTCGTTATTACGGGGTGTGCCCGGGTCAGCTCACTCCTTACCTCTACAAATTGTTGGCAATATTCATCAAGTACACGGAATTGGCCCGTAGGGAGGTCACGCTGCAGCATGTGCTGAGTCTCTACGCTCCCAGAGAGTCCGTGGCACTATGATTCAGGCGTGCCCTCGTGGGTCGAAGGGTCTGGTCATGAGGTTGGATGACGAGGTCGATCCTCGCCCTTTCAAGCACTTCTTTTATATCAGGACCAAGCATCTGGTGGCGGATGCTACTGGGTTCCCAGAGGCTTGGAACCATGCGCGTAAGTTCTTTAGTGGTTGAGTTCTCTTTTCTTCCCCTCTTTATGATTTGTGATCACAAGCGTTAACTCGTGTTGTTTTTGTAGCCGACAGGTCGCCGCCGGCCCCATTGTCTTGGATACGTGAGTGGGTCGAGGCCGTACTCCCCCATACGGTGGGGATACGCACATGGGCGTCTTTCTGGGAGAGGCATGGCCGTAGGCCTGTGGCAGGTAAAAAATTGATTTCTTCTTCTGTTCCGCTTTGTTTCAACTCTATTCATCAACTTTGTTTTTCTGTGATCAGGGAGGGCGCGCCGCGTCAGGGTCCCTCAGTTGGCCTTTCGTCGACCGGGTGCAGTCGCTCGTCTTACTGCGGCGCCTGTGTCACGCTCAATACCGAGGGCGGCATCAGTTGAATCTTCAGCGGTTCACTCTCCAGCACGGTCCGTGCTTCGGGACGAGGGGCCATCGGGGGTTGTGCGCCCTAGGGCGGAGTCGTCATCAGATGGGGAGGAGGAGAGGCCGTTGATACAGCGTAGGGTCGCGTTCACGCCGGCTCCTCCTGTGGTAATTAATTTGGACTCCCCCCCGGCGGACGCGGAGAGGAGTGCGGCTGCGGCGCCTGCCCTTGAGGGCGGACAAACAATGGGGGTTGCCCCGGTTGGCTCAGGTCGTGATGATACCGTCGCTTCGGCGACTCAATTGGTGGTTCCAGTCGCTGAGACGGGAGGTAGTTCCTCAGCGGCTGGTAATGTGAGTGAGGCAAGCGCTCTTTCGGCGGCTGCAGCGGGAGGTTCCACTTCGCCGGCGGCTGAAGGGGGAAGAGATGCTGTAGGGGGTGAGTATGAGTCTAAATCCGACTTGGATCCTGACGACGTCCGTATGTTCCAGGAAGGCTCCACCAATTCAGCGGTGCGCGCAGGGGGGCGATCTCGCTTCATCGAGGTTCCCACGGAATTGAACTTATTGCTCCAAGGGGAAAGCTTGGTGCCGCAGTTCGAGCTGCTATGCTCGGAGGCCGAGAATGCATCGTTGAGGGGCGTTACTGATGTCCGACTGATGAATGAAGTAGCCGTGATGGGCTTGAGGGTATGTACTATTACGTCGGTTCGCTTCTTTTTGCCTTAAGTTTATTCTAATCGTTGCCTTTGCTTTGCAGTCTTATCTGTTGGAGGTGGAGAGCATCCGTCGAGCCAAGGTCCACTCGGGGATATTTTTGCGGGCGCTGGAGAAGTATCGCCGTTACCGAGATCAGTGCCGAGAGTTGCGCGTGCGCTTGAGGAATGATCCTCGTAGCCGGGCCTTGGTCGATGAGCTGGCGAGGCGGGAGCTTCAGATACAGCAAACACTTGGCAGGACGAGTGCTCTCGAGGGGCAGCTTCGCCGAAAGGATGAGGAGCTCGAGGCGGTAAAGCGGGCCGCAGCTGAGTGCGAGCGCCGGGGCAAAGCCAAGGCGGCGGAGGCCGCTGCGGCATGGAGCGGGAAAGTGACCGCGTNGCTGCTAATGTGGGTAAGGCCAGCGCTCCTTCGGGTGGCTGCGGCGGGAGGAGATGCTGTAGGGGGTGAGGATGAGTCCGAATCCGACTTGGATCCCGACGACGTCCGTATGTTCCAGGAAGGCTCCACCAATTCAGCGGTGCGTGCAGGGAGGCGATCTCGCTTTATCGAAGTTCCCACGGAATTGAACTTATTGCTCCAAGGGGATAGCTTGGTGCCGCAGTTCGAGCTGCTATGCTCGGAGGCCGAGAATGCGTCGTTGAGGGGCGTTACGGATGTCGGGCTGATGAATGAGGTAGCCGTGATGGGCTTGAGGGTATGTACTGTTACGTCGGTTCGCTTCTTCTTTGCCTTAGGTTTATTCTTTTATTCTAATCGTTGTCTTTGCTTTGCAGTCTTATCTGTTGGAGGTGGAGAGCATCCGTCGAGCCAAGGTCCGCGGATATTTTTGCAGGCACTGGAGAAGTATCGCCGTTACCGAGATCAGTGCC